TTTTTTTGGTGGTTTTTTTTTTTTTTTTTTTTGCTATAGGGTGTGTGTGCTCGCCAGACAGACAGAGAGAGAGACATAGAGACAGAAAGCAAAAAATCACCCCCAGGGGGTATGGCCACGCCACCATCTCTTCTCCTCCATTCTCCTCTCGGGATCTTGGGCACGCACGCACACGTGCCCGGTGTGAGTTTTAAGCCACTAGGTCCGGGACGCGAACTGTGGTCGACTACATGGGAGTCCAGCGACATAGCCATTGCACTAACTGCTGGTCCCGAGTGAACTTGAATTTCTTAGAGAGTTTGTAAAAATCCCAGTGCTGAGACTGTGTGTCCAACCCAGCAAATCCTAATAGATGGGTATAAAACACAGGTGTCTGAATTCTGTAAAGCTCTCAGGTGATTCCAGATGAAGAAGAATATTGAGGAACTACTGCAAACGCCATTAATTACTTTCTGTCAAAGCAAGAGAGTTAAAGTCCTTGTCAATCATCTCCCATTCTTAGGAAGATGCTAAAGAGATAATAAACAAGGAAAGAAAAGGCAGAAGGCATGATGCTTACTCTGACATTTTGTACCATTTATGGACAATGAAATGAATGGAATTTTAGAGTTGGATTCTAAGGAAGGAAAAGAATGGCTTTTGTTCCCAACGGTACCCATTTTGTTGACTGGGAAACATCTACCAGAAAATGCAGATAGTAACGGCAGATGGAATCAGTGGCCACCCAGGATAGCTGTCTGCACCTCCTCGCTGTTTGGGATAACATCTGCTTGGCAAACACAAGGTCACCTGTTGCAGGTATGCTCCCAGCTAGTCTTCAGTGAGTTTGGTGAGATTCAAGCAGTAATGGATCTTCAGTAAGCAGGGAATGTAAAAATCTGAGGGCCCCCTACTGCTAGAGAGAGAACTACGAGAGGGCAGGTGGCCTAAGGAGTTTATTGTTCTCCCCTGGCAGGTGGCCACTGCTGAGATCCTTCTGGAAAGAAATCAAAATCCTACTAGGAG